AGAGTATTTTAGATCTTGCACTTACTACAATGATGGACCTGAAGCACTTAGTGAAGTGCCTGGCACATGATAAGTTCCCAGTAAACAGATCATTATCACATTTGTTGCAAGAAGGCTAGGTGAGTGTCATGGCAAAACCCACGCCATGCTCTTTCTGGGTCTGCTCAGCCACCTTCATGTATGTGGTAAAATGGTCAGGTTACTGTATAGGTAACTCCCAAACTTTGGTTTTGCTGAGTGGAAAGTATAATCCAAGTAGGAGAGCTGAATGGTTCTGGTCAGTAATTTTTTTTTTCTTTATTATTATTATTTTTTTTAAGGCTGTGCAGAGGAAGAGGAAGGTAGATTGACACTAGACATGGGAGGAAAGAGGACTTTGAAAAGAAAAAATAAATATGACCAAGAGGAATTTGATCGTTTCTGCAGTGTGATGAGCAACACGCATTCTTCCTCCTCTCTGTGAATCTTTGTAGATGAGGGTACTTCAAAAAGTTTATGGAAAGATTCATTGTATCTTTTAATTCTATTTTCCAAAAACTTTTTGAAGTACTCTCGTATATATAAAATATTATTATAACTTAATATATGTAGCACTGTGGAATGAGATCTATTTTTGGCATTTATCAAAGTGTGGCATCCTGCTTCAAGGTAGGCTTAGGTATAAAAACAGAGATTGTATAAAGAAATCTTTCTGCTCAGGATATATATTCTAAAGATTTTAGGCAGATTATAATTGTAGGTAGAGACTCAGCCCTTGAGACTGGGTACTCATACTTTATCATCTATGCTTCTGATGTTCAAATTGGCTTTAGCCTATGAACCTGTGAAAAATGCGACAGGATCTTGGTCCATTCGGTCTGCATCTAGCAGGGATGTAATTTACATATGCAAGAGACTCTTCGCAGGAGATCCTGCATGCGTCAGGGAACAGTGCCCTCTACTGTTCATGAGGGGAACGTGCAGCAGCGGTCAAATCATAAGGGAGTCCACCACTCCAATTTGCCAAAGCAAGCTGCTCAGTGGTCTGCAATGATCAAGACACTGTTTGGAAGGCCATCTGCTGGCCTCTATAGCCAGTGTCAGCTGTAAATATTCATCAGGAGAAGCAAGCCAGCCAGCCAACAGCAGCTTACCTCCCCTACACTTGTTTCTAGGCAGGCTCTAACCCCACACTACATATAAATGTTTTCTTTCCAGTTTTCACTGCAAACACTGAAATCCCATTAGTTTTGCTCCTTATCAGAAATAATTTTTTAAACAGTAATTCCAACCATTGAAGCTTGCCTTTAAAAGATCTCTGTTTCTGAGTATTATAAAATTAAAAAATTTAAGCCACTTTAAGGAAGCACAGTTAATAGCTGTGATGAAATAAAGACATATAAAATAGCAGCCATTCATTGTCAAAAGTTTACACTGGCAAGGGATCAATGATTTCTTTTCTTTTCTCTTCTCTTTCCTCCCTTCCTTCCTCCCTTTCTTTCCTTTCTTTTTAAATAAAAACATCTAAAATATCACAGAATCTCCATCTACAGTAATAACGTTGCATGGTGAAAATTATTTTGCTGGCTTTCTCTGCCTTCTGGGACCATTTTTTTGTTGTTGTTGTTGTTGTTGTTGCTAGCTTTCTCTATCTTCTGAACAGACACAGTGCTTCGTATTCTTATCCTCTGAAATTACATTCGGGGTATAACCCCACACAATGCAGTCAACATTTACGTTTAAACAACAAAAAGGGAAATTCTGTGGATTTTAAGCTGGCATTAGGGAGTTGACTCCTCTACAATAACTTTTGAACTGTTTTCTCAGCATTATTCCACTTAGCTAAAGCAAAGAAAATATAGTGGTAAATAATATTCATGAAAGGAAAAATTTCTTAAAAGTTTCTCTTAAAATAAATGAATCTAAAACCACAATGTGTGAAGGTACTTTTTCTTTTACGATACCAAGTTCCAAATTCATTAGCGGGTGTGGGCTTCTTGCCCTACCACGTGATGGGACGCTGGTAAAGGGGAGCCTGCCACATCTTATCTTTCTCTTCTGCCAGGAATGAAGTCCAGTTTAATGCAGCACTGGCTGCCCAGTGGGAACAAACTGCCAGGTTCCACTGAATCCCAGGTTCACTCCCACTCAGTGCAGAAAGAAATGGTGTGCAAAATTCACTGGAAACTCTCAAGGCCTTGACATGATGTTGGGCATTTCCATTTAGGGTGATGAGGTGAGGAATGAGTAACTCAGAGTTATTTGTACTGAAGAATATGGGCGTTGGTGCATTACTCTAACCATTGTCAGGAGAGGAGAGTGTTTGGTCTTCTGAGAAGCCCGGAACTATGAATAATTTACCAATTGCAGACAAATAAACAGAGTAAGAAAGTTGCCTAATTTTCTGGTACTTCTATTTGGTTACTGTCATTTAAAATAATTCACCTAGGAGAGAAGATGCTTTCAGGCCTTCAGTAGAGAAATGGCTTTGTGGAAACATGGTCAGCTTGCCTCGTATGGAGCATGTCATTTTTCTTCTCAGTCTAGTGTGATCCATGCATCTGGTGTCATCTCCTGTTTGAAACAGGCATGGGGAATTACTCCTTCCTCTGTTTTTCTGTAATAGACTTAGTGTGTATGCATGTGATATATCTTTCTTCATCTTCTCAAGGACAGATATTATATCTTTTGCTTTTATATCCCCAGCATTACACAGCTCAAGGGATTTAATGTTCTTTTTCCTTCCTTTCTCTTCTTTCCTCAAATCATGAGAAATATGAACTCATCATTCTGAGCAATAATTATGTTGAAATGTGGATGTGTGTGGATGTTGCCTAAATGGCCAGTTAACAGCTTAGAAAACCCAGGTTTGACCACAAATAAATGGTGGCTCTAACACTGCCTTTTAGAAACTAATATTTCTCTTCTTCAGGGACAGAAATTCCAGAAGAGTATGAAAAGTTCCTGGAACAAAGGTGGGCACGTTGGAGCCTAACTTGGAAGGTATCATGGAGTCATTTGTGTTCTGAGGGTTGAGTTTCTAGAAGGAAAATCTCCTGACTTCTGTGGGGTGGATGTCCAGAGATGTGGCTGACTTCCTGGGGAGGCAAGGGTGAGGGAGGAAGGAACTAGAAGTGCTCTTGACCTTCTGGGAACTTTCTAGAAGGAAAATCTCCTGACTTCTGTGGGGTGGATGTCCAGAGATGTGGCTGACTTCCCGGCTGAAGGACTTCCTGGGGAGGCAAGGGTGAGGGAGGAAGAAACTAGAAGTGCTCTTGACCTTCTGGGAATTTGACCCTGGAGCAGAGGGCTGGGCATGTGAACCAAAGATGTGCACCTTGAGTCTGGTGCTGGGATCCTAAGCATGGGGCACCTTTGGCTCCAGTTAACACTGTAGAGCAGGATCTACCTGTGTCAGCAAAACACACAGGTGAACAAGGTCTTGAACTACATATAAGGTAACCATATGTCCTGGTTCTCTGAAACAGTCCTGTATGATTTCTCTTGTCTTGGCATAATTATTAATAGTGTCCCTTTCTATTATCAAACATGTCTCAATTTGTACACTAAATTATTTTGTTCACCTGTATAGACTACTTTTCAACAGTGACATCATGTGGCCTCAAGAAGCAATGGCAGTGGACCCCAGAGTCTCAAGTTCATTCCTGGCTGGTGTGGAAGCCAGAATGACCCTCCCCTCCCCTTGGACTACAGAGCTGTCAAGGCTCCTGACCATTTAGGAGGGAGGGAGAGATTCAAGAGGGAGTTTGAATATATCCTGTTAATAAGGCATATAGGTGCTTCACCAATTTTAATTAGAAAAATAATGGGTGTGATTATATAAAGTTTCCCCAAGTTTGTGCAGCAGTTTATACCAGGCATATGCTATGTATTTTAGAATACTTGCTTACTTTAGCCCCAGAGACCTTATTATTTACATATTTCTTATATTGAGATATTTGCAGTAGTTTTCCAGTAGCTCAGTGTATGATTGTGAGGAGTTGTAATTTTTGCTGGTAGGAAGACACATAACGTGAGACACAGCTTTAAGAGTCTGTTTAATTGCTGGAGTTTAGGGATTAAGTGGACAGCTACTTTTGCCTGCCTGGCATCCCTTCCCCCTTTTCTGGGGACAGAGCCCTCTTTCCTGTGGGAAACACGTTTTATATTGCTTAGGTGGGGCTGACTCCCTTCTCTCTTTCCTCTTTACTTCCTCAATCCCTTATCAAGGAGTTGGACATATGACTCATGCTTGACCCGTCATAGGTAGTCTCCCCGTCCCTTTGGCCATACTGATTGTGGAATGGGGTAGGAAACTGACCCCGGCTAGGCCAGTTTACGTCCTTCTCCAGACTTTACTGCTGGAGCTATTGGAAAAGACTATTTCATTCTGCTAAGGATGCTAATCTGCTAGTATGGGATTTAGGGTGTTGGCAGCCACCTTGCCACTAAAAAGAGAAGGCCCATCCAGGTAGAGGAGAAAGAGAGACCAAGTCCTGATGACATTGTTTTGAGGCTTCTGGATCCAGCCTTTCCCGAAGTCCCAAGATTTGTTCATGGACCTTTTATCCCATATTTACATTTAAATATATAAATATGCATATTTGTATATTTGCTATAAACTAGCTTAAGCTAAAACCACTTACAACCTATGAGTTCTAATATAAGTAATGAAGATTTTTTTGTATTTCAAGGACCCAGTCTCTTAGATTTTTGAGATTCACTAGAAGAATCGATCAACTCTAACTTTGCTTAGCATCTATGTAATTCCCTAAGTGGTTAAATGTGTTTACTCTCAGGCACTATGCAGATTAGGTAAATAGCCACAGAAACCTATTGACAGAGCTCTTTACTGGGCAAGGTTAATCCTGGAAAGATGACACGGACAGAAAAGGCAGTCAAGTAGGTAAACCTCAAGGGAAAAACTGAAGAAAACCTGTTCTCTCCACGCGTCCCACCATCTCCTGTTCACCGGACTGGATCCCACTTGCCTTCTGTTGCTCAGGGGTGTTTCTTGGGGGTCAATGGGGTAACATGTCCTCTGTCTCAAGTGTAAGAAATGGAAAGAAGAAGCATCTTAGCTTCCACAAAATGCCCCTGCTCAGTATCTTGGGCAGTACGTTGATGAAGAGATCTGGATTTATAAAACTTAAATGGAAAAACATGTAGACCAGCAGTCTGAAGAAAAATAGGGTGGTGAAAAAGAAATAGCGAAAAATCCTGAAAAGAGAAAGCCAAGAAACTGTTAACCCGTGGTTAGGAAGCGTGGAACAAAATAAGAGCTCATACCTGCATGCATGTCTGGCTCCTTCTTGGAATTCAGATGTCTCCTGCGAATTGTCATCTCCTTTCCTGAGGACCCTTTATAAAGGCAGCCCCTTCCCACATGCCGGCCTGCGGTGATTCCCTCTCCATCACTGTATTTCCTTTGCAGCATGTATCATTGTCTACAATAGTCTTGTTCCCTTATTTTTTGTTTTGTTTACTTTCGTTTTCATTTTTGCAAATTGTTTTCCAAAGTAGTTGCATCAGCATGTACCCCACTGGCAAGCTAGACGTTTCTGTGAATCCACATCCTTTCCAACACTTGATATGATCAGAGTTTTAAAATTTTGCTGACCAAATGGGTGTACAGTAATATCTCATTATAGTCTTGATTTGCATTTTCCTGATGAACAAGGATGCTGAACATCTGTTCACAGGTTTATTGGTCTTAGTGTTTCCTCTTGCCCCTTTATCTATTAGGCAGTTTGGGCTTTTCTTATTTATTTGTAGAAGTTCTTTATATGTTCTTGATATCAATCCTTTTCCATTGTGTGCATTGTTATATATTCTCCCAACTTTGTAACTTTCACTTGCTTTAAGGTGTTAAAGGACAAAAGTTTTTAATTTTAGTAAGGCCTAGTTTGTCAACATTTTCTTTAATTAGAGTCAATTCTTTCTGTGTCCTGTTTAAAAAATCATCCTCTACCCCAAGGCCTAAAAGATACTCAGATGTTATATTCAATGTTTGTGGTAGTTTTAAAGTATGTCCACAAATTGTTACTCCTCCCTTCAAGAGACTCCCCTGCATTGGAGTGTGGACTGGACTTAATGACTCACTTCGAAAGATAGAATATGCTGGAAGTCCCAGTGTGTGGCTTCCTAGGCCATCATAAAACATTGCACTTCCTCCTTACTGTCTGGAAGAAGCCAGCTGTCATGTGGTAAGGACACTCCAGCAGCCCCACAGGGAAGTCCATGTGATGAGGAACTGACACCTCCTGCCAGTACCAGAAAAAGCTTGCCAGATGTGTAAGTAACCTGGGAAATAGAACCTCCAGCTCCAGACCAGCCTCATGATGACTGCAACTTTGGTCAACAGCTTAACTGAAATCTCATGACACACCCTGGGCTAGAATCACTTAGCTAAGCAGATCTCAGATTTCTGACCCACAGAAAGATAAATAATACAGAGTTTTAAAGGTTTTTTTTTTTTTTTTTTTTTTTTTTTTTT